CAGAATCGCAGAGCAGAGCTGATGGTTACATGAGGGTTCATCCCACCTGTCTTACCTTAGGAAGAGAGCATGGCTGATGGGATTACCTAGAGCTATCCAGACACTAAACTGGGTATCTAAACTCCCTCTGGTTAGAAGACAACTTAAAAGTGGTTAAAAACCCCCAAATCAGAACAAGAGAAAACTGAAATGACCAAGGGCTCAGAAACATGATCTGTAAGAATGTAAATAATGATCTGTCTTCTAACCTGTCTTCTGCCTGTAATTCAAATTACAGGCCTGCTTTACACAAAAAGATGTGGATGGGCTAGAGAGGGTCCAGAGAAGGGCCATTAGGATGATACAAGCATGGTGCAGACATGTGAGGAAAGGCTGAGAGAGATGGGCTTGTTCAGCCTTGAGAAAAGAAGGCTCAGGGGAGGTCTTATCCCCATCTTACAGTACTTAGAGGATGGCTACAAAGAAAATGGAGAGTCCCTTTTTACAAGGAGTCACATTGAAAAGACAAGGGGTGATGGGCACAAGTTACTAATAGGGAGATTCTGACTGGGCACAAGAGGAAAATTTCTCACCCTGAGAACAACCAGCCACTGGAATAATCTCCCCAGGGAAGTGGTAGACTCCTCAGCACTGGACACATCTAAGATTCAGCTGGACAGGTTGCTGGGACATATGGCCTAGGTCATGCTTTGCCAAGGCAGGCTAGAGCAGATGATCCCTGAGGTCCCTTCCAACCTGGGATTCTATGATTATATCTGCGGGTAAGGAAGGTGAGATGGATCCTGTGCTAGGCTGTCCAAGCAGGTCCCTGATCTATAGGAATTTTGTTAGGACAGGAAAAAAGAAAACTGGAAGAAGGCTCTTCTAGGGTTGATTCTGTTCTTCAGGGATTTCCTCCTGCAGGAAAACACTAAGCTAAAGCTTGAAAGCTGCCACATCCTGGTTATTTCCAGATGCAACTTACAGTTCCTCTTCCTAAGGCAGAAGAGTAGAGGAACAAAAAAGACAGAATTTCAGGTAGACCTCAGTAAGCTCACAGAATTTCAGGCAGTCTCTTAAAAGCCTGGTTTATGAATTAAGGATCATTCCTTAACCTAACACTAGTTAAGTGCAGCACCCAGCTGCAAGGCAAAAAGACACAAGAATGAGATGTAAGGCCATCTCATGCAGAACACAGACTTCTAGTATGAACATAAAAGACAGAATGAACAAAGTCAAGGCACTGAATGAGGTAAAACCCACAGCTGCAAAGCTTTATATATATATCACAGCATAAGACAAAGATCAATGGCAAGGCTGATACACTACACAGTGGAGAAAGCAGGCCATGATTCATCCATTCAGTCTTCACTAAATGACTAGGTGCAACCAAGCAGCTAACACAATTAATGAGAGAGGGAAAGGGAACAGACCTCCCAGATAGCAAAGGATTGGGAAGTATTTATTGGTTTTCATGTCAATCAAGCCTGATGAATGTGACCCGAACGCATGTAGAGAATGCTTTCTAAGAATTTCTAATGAAAGAATTAAGAATACACTAAGAATTTCTGATGCCTAGAGGTGGGTTTAGAAGACTACAAGAGGACCAGCCTGAAATCCTTCTTTAAAGGAGGAAGTGGGGCAGTCAGAGCAGCCAGTTTAATAGGAACTGAATATAAACTATTAAACAAAATAAAAATCAAGCTATTTATAAACTTATAGATTCGCCAAGAACAAGTTCCATTGTATCAGTCTAACTTTGCTGACAGGTCTTACAAAGAGATGATTATCATTTCTTTGTCTATAGTCTTTAGAAACTGTCCTTCACGTGTTCTCATAAGCACATAGGGAAACGTAATCTAAATCAAAAAGCACAGAAGCAAAGCAGTTTGAAAAGCTGAACTGGGGGAGCTGTAATCCAGCTGTCTTCCATATGGAACATGGATGAAGAGTGATGGGAAACATGTTCTGTTCCTGGCAGCATTCAATACTCCCATCAATACCTGACTTAAGAACACTTAATGATACTTGCAGGTGACTCCCAATGGGGAAAGAGGCAGCAGAGACCCCAAAGGTCTGCAGTTAAGAACAACACAATTGAGTGGAAAGACAGAAGCAAGTATTGATAAAGTAAGGAGCAAAACACAGGATTAACACACTTCACATACACAACCCCACTACATAGTGCTTCTCTGAGAGGGATATGGAGAATAGTGAACAAAATATTACACTCAGATGCAAAACACAGCCAGAGAGGAGACAGAGGAAGCAGCCTACAGCTCCAGCTGTAGGCTCCGAAGAACTCAGCAGCAACATACATGTCATTCTTTTTTTTTAAACAGTTTATATCCAGTTCCTATGAACTGGACAAATACAAGAAGAAACAACTTCAAAGTGGTTAAAAACCCCCAAATCAAAACAAGAGAAAACACAAATGACCAAGGGCTCAGAAACATGATCTGTAAGAAAACACTAAATAGTGATGGTTTGATTCACCAAGCAAACCTTGAGGGACTGTGTTCAGTCTTTAAATGCACAAAGTTTGAAGCAGAAAGAGGTTTTTTTTTTTCCTTCTTCCACATATAAGGTGGGTAAGGCAAGAAACATGAGCTGACATTATAGATTTGGGTGCACCACAGAATCTTTAAAAACCTTGAAAAGGAGAACAACTTGCTTGAGGAGGCTTCACGCTACTGCTAACAAAAAACCTTTTTTGACTCGTTATACACCAAAAGCTGTGCTGGGACACGATCACAAGTTCCACTATATCACAAGCCGACAGGCAAAGGGTGCTGTACAAGGCATCCAAGGTCCCCCCAACACGTGAGGGGATTTGGGAAGACTCAACGACATCCGTTGAGCATTCGCAGTGCCCATCCCCGTCCTTTCTAACCACACACCTGCACACAGCGAGCACTGCTCAACCCCTTCCCCCCCCCTCAAGAGCCCCCAACAAAGGGCTCCACCTGCAGAGACCATGAAACTCGCTATCGGAAGGCTAAGCCCTCTCAGAGCTCCCACTACCCGCTTGCACTGGCTTTATCGCCGGCTTTATCGGCTCTAACAGTGCGGGGCAGCCCCAACCCGCCCCCAGAACCCCCCCGCGCTGCCCCGAGAGCGGCCCGCCTCCTCTGCGAGACTGCGCTCTTCGGCTGCCCGCAAACCTGACTGTCCAATATCCGCCCTGAAATGCGCGAGACTAGCCTACATACAACCCAACGTGTCTTCCGATATTTTTAGTAGACGTTTAGTAATTTACACCCTCTATTTCCGCTCGGATAGCCGCTGCGGTGTCTTGGTCCAAGACGTTTTTAGTCAGGCATTTTTTTTGCCTGACTTTTCTGCGCCCAAAGTTACAAAAGCCCCCTCTTCAGGCGGGGGAGCGGTGGTGTTCCCTCGCTGCGCGCCGTGAGGGAGGGAGGTCCTCAAGATGGCGATGCTGGCGGAGCGTGAGTGGTGTTCCTGCGGGGGGGAGCTGCGGCGGCGGGGCGCGGGGCAAGGGCCGTTGTGCGGGGAGCGGTTCGGGCCCGCCCTGGGCCCTTCGGGGATGGGGCCTGGGCCGCGCTGTTCCTGCCGAGGGCGCGGGCGGGTCCCCGGAGCGCCCGCGGTGGCTGGGTGCGGGTTTGCGGGGCTCGCTCGCTTCCTGGCCCGCCGGTGGGGATGTCTGTCGGATGGCTTCGGGGCCGGCATTTGCCCCATCTTTGGCAGTGTTCAAGGACAGATTGGACGGGGCTTGGAGCAACCTGCTCTAGTGGGAGGTGTCCCTGCCTGTGGCAGGGGTTGGAACTGGATGCGCGTTAAGGTCCCTTCCAACCCAAACCACTCCGTGATTCTGTGATCTTTCAGAGTCTCGGTACTATCTGTACAGCGGTGTGTTAAGAGTGCAGGTATGCCGAAGCCTCTGGACTGGGGTTGTGTGGCAGCAGGAGAGCCTAGCTGAACTGTGTGTGTATATGTAGGCACGGGTCTTTTGATCTCACCCAGGGTTAGAATTTGAGCTGTGTGTACAGGGAGCTTCAGAGGTCAGTTAAGTGCTGAGTTGGGAAAAGTGAGTGTGGGATGTATGGGATTTGAGGCAGGTGCTTAAAAAAAGGCAAGTAAATGTATGGAACTCATTAGGGAGATATCAGGATAAGGTCATGTGGTTGTGTTATGCTTTTTCAATAAGGGTGTTGGTGAGTGAATCATTTTTGACGGCATTGTTACATGCAGCCTGGTAATTTGGTTAACTTTTTCCTCATACTGGAATCAGAGCTTCACTCTTAGCTCTGAAGTAATTGAGGGCTTAGGCTCCCCATATCTGAAAGAACTGATTAAAATATTGCATGAATATCCTGTCCAATAACTGTTTCTTGGGTAAAGCTTTTCATTCAGGAAACACAACTGTCTCAGCTGGCCCAAATGTGAACTAAAAACTTCTGTTGCCTTCTCTTCTGAATTAAAGATGCATTTCTGTTAATCAGCCTTTTCTAGTAAATGTAAAGCTATATATGAGTGGAAAGAGTAAACTTCTTAACTGTAAATTTTTATGTGACAGGACTAATACACTTCTGTCTGAGTATTGTTAATGTCCTTAGGTGTTTTGGTAAGCTTACTGGTATCAGGACACTCGTAATGAGAAAGCACAGGATCTAATGAATTTGATTCTGTAGGACTAATTTGAACTGTACAATGGATCTTCTTAAGTGTAATGACTAATTAGAAAATAAGGTTTCCAGTGGAAAATACAGGTATGAATTGAGGAAAGCAAAGCTGCATTTACGTATGTAATTTGCTGATTATTTTTTTAGATGTAAACTTGTTGGTGACATCTTGGGGTTTTTTGCTTTTCTTTTTTTCTCAGATTTTGGTAATTATTTTAATTGGGCACTGCATATATCAGTAATTGTAGAATAGTTTGGGTTGGAAGGGACCTTAACACGCATCCAGTTCCAACCACTTGCCACAGGCAGGGACTCCTTCCACTAGACCAGGTTGCTCCAAGCCTGTCCAAGGAGGCCTTGAGCAGTGCAGGGATGGGGCAGCCACAGCTTTTCTGGGCAACCTGTGCCAGTGTGTTAAGGCAGCTTCTGTATATAGTGAATTCTAAAATCAGTTGCCATAAGAAACAAATTTAGTTGCTGAGAGCCATGTTTGCATAGTTGTCTGCATTTGTTCATCACCTTCAGCTGCAGTTACAATTGTGAAGGCACGTTGCAAGTCTGCAGTTTTATTCCTAGTTCTGGATTAAGCTCTGATGATCTCATTCATCCTAAAAGAAATTGGGGGTGAGGTATGTGGTTAATTGGTTTTACCACAGCTGTGAAAGCACATTCATTCCAGGGACATTCCAGGCAGAGCTACAAGTTGGGCAGAGAAGAGATTCAGAGCAACCCTACAGAGAAAGACTTGCCGGTGTTGGTTGATGAGAAAATGAACATGAGCCAGCAGTGTGCGCTTGCAGCCCAGAAAGCCAACCGTATCCTGGGCTGCATCAAAAGGAGCGTGACCAGCAGGTCCGAGGAAGTGATCCTGCCTCTCTACTCTGCTCTCATGAGACCTCACCTGGAGTATTGTGTGCGGTTCTGGTGTCTTCAACATAAAAAGGACATGGAACTGTTGGAACAAGTCCAGAGGGAGGGCCACAAGGATGATCAGGGGACTGGAGCACCTCCTGTATGAAGACAGGCTGAGAAAGTTGGGGCTGTTCAGCCTGGAGAAGAGAAGGCTGCGTGGAGACCTCATAGCAGCCTTCCAGTACCTGAAGGGGGCCTATAGGGATGCTGGAGAGGGACTCTTCATTAGGGACTGTAGTGATAGGACAAGGGGTAATGGGTTCAAACTTAAACAGGGGAAGTTTAGATTGGATATAAGGAAGAAATTCTTTCCTGTTAGGGTGGTGAGGCATTGGAATAGGTTGCCCAGGGAGGTTGTGAATGCTCCATCCCTGGCAGTGTTCAAGACCAGTTTGGACGAGGCCTTGGGTGATATGATTTAGCGTAAGGTGTCCCTGCCCATGGCAGGGGGGTTGGAACTAGATGATCTTAAGGTCCTTTCCAACCCTAGCTATTCTGTGATTCTGTGACTTAAGGACACTTCTCAGCAGTATGTAGGGACAGGACAAAAAGCAGTAAATGCAAATTGAAAACGCAGGAAATTCCTGGACAACCTGCTTAAGCAGGGGGTTGAAGTAGATGATCCTGAGTGCTCCTTCCAACTTTTGTGATTGTGTGTGCTAAACAGAGAAAGGGCAAACTCAGTCATTTTATGCTTATGTAATCTGAATTTAAAAATCATATTAATTGCAGAAGTGGCCAAAGAGGTAGCTTTTAATTTTCACTTTTAATTCGTTTTTAACTTTTAATAAATTTTAATTAACTCTCTATGTTATTGGTGCTTCTCAGGAAAAAAGTAAAGGAGCTTACATTAATGATGGGCTTCATATCTTTGATTAAAAATAAAATCTCCTCTGTGGGCAGGGTGGTTTTTCTCCTGTTCGTCAGAGAAACTTAACTTGCTTACTATCACCATGTGTGGGCACACAGCAGGGATTCGGATGGGAACTGTCAGAAGTGATAAACGTATGCCCTAGGCACAGAATTAGCCTTGGTAAAAGGGTTTAGTAATTGATCTTTTTCAGATGTTAAGGTGTCAGAGTGAAGTATATAAAGAAATTATTCTTTTCTCCACTGGATGGTGCTGCTTGCTCAGAGTTGCATTACTGTATCTAGCCTCATTCTATGAGCAGCCTTGATGATTGGTGTTAACTTCTGAGCTGAGTGTTTTAGCTGGAAGACAGTGTGTTTCCTTTCTCGCTCTTATCAGTGGACAAACATTTCTGATAAATTGTTGACTAAGTAGTCTTTTTTTGTTGTTTGTTTGGAGAGGGGGGATGATTTTTTGCTGTGTGTTGCATAAAGTCATCACAGTATCACAGTATCACAGTATGCTAGAGATTGGAAGGGACCTCAAAAGATCATCTAGTTCAATCCCCCTGCCGGAGCAGGAACACCTAGATAATGTTACACAGGAATGTGTCCAGACGGGTTTTGAATGTCTCCAGGGAAGGAGACTCCACAACCTCCCTGGGCAGCCTGTTCCAGTGTTCCGTCACCCTCACTGAGAAGAAGTTTCTTCTCAAGTTTAAGTGGAACCTCTTGTGTTCCAGTTTGCACCCATTACCCCTTGTCCTATCATTGTTTGCCACTGAGTAGAGCCTGGCTCCATCCTCGTGACACTCCCCCTTTATATATTTATAGACACTAATAAGGTCACCCCTGTCTCCTCTTCTTATAGAGACCCAGAGTCTTTCCTCATAAGGGAGATGCTCCACTCCCTTAATCATCTTTGTTGCCCTTCGCTGGACTCTCTCCAGCAGCTCCCTGTCCTTCTTGAACTGAGGGGCCCAGAACTGGACACAATATTCCAGATGGGGTCTCACCAGGGCAGAGTAGAGGGGAAGGAGGACCTCTCTCGACCTACTAACCACCCCCCTTCTAATACACCCCAGGATGCCATTGGCCTTCTTAGCCACAAGGGCACAGTGTTGGCTCATGGTCATCCTGTCGTCCACTAGGACCCCCAGGTCCCTCTCCCCTACACTGCTCTCTAACAGGTCGTTTCCCAACCTATACTGGAACCTGGGGTTGTTCCTGCCCAGATGCAGGACTCTACACTTTCCCTTGTTATATTTCATCCAGTTATTCCCTGCCCAACTCTCCAGCCTGTCCAGGTCATTCCCAGCTCTCTTAAATACTTTAAAGATATCAGCAACTTTATTTTCCTGCCTCTAGCTTGCCATATTTGAAAATAAGAGTGTGTTAACCTGAGAGAAATGTGAGGATTAATCCCATTGGGATAGTGAAGAGGTTTGAAATACTTGGACTGCAAGTTCTGGGAGAGGGAAGGTCTCTTAAAATTCAAAGCTTGAGACACCTCTATTAGGTGTCCTTGTGTTTCGTTACCATTGCCCTCCTGGGAGTAAAATATCTTTGTTGGAGAGGGATTCAGAAAAAAAAGAATAGAAATTAACTTTTAAAGTGGATTAGTTGAACTACATCAAACAATTCAATTTGGAAGTTAATTTAAATTCACACTCAGTTGACATGGATTGCCTCTGCTGCATAGACAAATCCTGAGATACATGCAGTGGCTTTACAGCTGCAAGAACTGTGTTGAACTGGATTTCTTGGTATTTGCAAAGTCACCACCTGGGGAGCTAGCTGCAGAGAGCACGGTAGAATATGGGCATACTTACAGTGTTGTTATAGTTAGGTTTAAAAAGAGGCATTGGACAGTTTTTGGTGACTGAGTGAGGGAAAGTTGATGTTAATTGAGAGATTTTAAATAAAGGGATCAGTTAAGATGTATAATTGAAAAGGAGGGCCTGCTGCTCAGGTGGGCAGCATAATCTCTATTAAATTGCTTGTTTTCGTTTTCCATCTTTTTATGCTGTTTGTCTCACTGTCAGCTACAGACAAAAGCAACAGCCAAGAAGTTCCCTGTCTTTTTAGGATTTAGCTTTTGCTTCCAGCTTGATAACATTTTAATTCCCAATAACCCCCCCAAATAAAGAACTGGAAACCTGGGTACTTAGAGATTGTTTGCATCTTGTATCAGGGAAGATGACAAAGCATGTTCATTGTCCCAGATTCCTAGCTTGGTGAGTTTCACAGTTTTTCTTCTCAGTGGGGCAGCAGGGAACCCTAATTTGCTTGGGCGTTGAAAATCACAGTCCACAGTGGCATTTTAGCAGCTGTTGTTAGCAGCACAGGTAGGTAGTAGATGCTTCTCTGAAGGCTGCCTGTTGGAAGCAAATTGTTTTCCTGCAGAGAAGGGAACCAAGTGAAGGCTATGTCAATTCCTCCCACAGCACTGAGTCATTTAACATACTGTAAAATCTTTTTTTATGGACTGTTGGGGTTTTATGAAAACCTTATCAGACTATTACTTTTTATGGGGCTGTCATACCGCACCTATTTTGAGATTCAGAGCTTCAGCAGCATGTTAAAAAAAGCCACAGTCTTGTATTCTAACTCTGTTAGTTCTTTAAGAACAAAACAAAACTGGGCAAAAAATGAATCAGCCATTCCTGTAATAGTCTGTTCCCCTGGCCCAAATCCTAACTGTTGCATTTTAGGGAAAGATGACTTCCTGATTATGTTGCAAGCACCTCGGTGGACTTGGCTTCTCACTGACTTTGTATGGCCTTGGGTTAATCGGTCATTTTTGATCTGCTGTTTCCCATCGTGTTTAATGAAGTTTGTAATCTTCCTGTCTCCCATTCTTTGTTTGTTCTGTTTATTTAGGTTATCTTCCTGCTTGTGTTTAGGTGCACAGTTGAAGTGGTTGGTTAACTGGGCTAGCTTTTCTTCCTTGATTTCATTGAAGCTATTCCTGATGATAGAGGCAAGCGCACCCGTGGGCTTGGGGGACGGTAGTTTCTTTAGGAGTCTGCAAGGGAGCTATAATTCTCGTTTGGATTTTTTAACACCTGCAGTGATTTCCGGTGACTTTTCAGTTTCTGAATAAATCATTTTGTGGCAAATCCAAAAGCTGAAGTCTCACTTGCTTCTGTCCTGTAATTTACTTTTGTAAATTTTGTCACTTACTTTTGATTTTTGGTTTGGCTTTTGTTATGAAGGCAAATACTAAAACTTCTGTGTTCTGGTTGAAAGGAAGACTGGCTAGTGGGTGTTGTCCAGAACTGGGAAAGCCAGCACCATAGTCTCAGATGTAGAACAAAGTTGGAATAAATACCGAATTTAGGCCTGTACACCTAAGTAGTAATCCTTAAAGCCTTCCCTGAGTTGCAGCTCATTCTTAGGGATGACAGTTTCCATAACAAATTTACTCTGGCATTTTTCACATTAATAATTAACATTTTCGTTGTTTTTTTTGTGGGTTTTTGTTGTTTTTTTTTTTAATTTGCAATATGAGGTTTAGTAAAATTAACCCCCAAAATGTGTTTAGTCTGGCATAAGTTCTGGGTTAGTTTTTTGCAATAAAGAGCTTTTCTGGGATTGATTGAAGACTAAGAACACCATGAGAATGTCAGTAGAGCCTGTTTGAATTTTTCCTTCCTGCTCTAGCCCGTAGAAGGCAGAAGTGGTCTGTGGATCCACGAAATAGCGCTTGGAGTAAAGATGAATCTAAATTTGGCCAGAAGATGCTGGAAAAGATGGGCTGGTCCAAAGGAAAGGTATGATCTAAAGGAGAGTTGTCTAGCTGAAGGGTGGAAGACTGCCAGGGGATTCTCAATCGCGATGTTTAAAACAACCATGTTCTATTTGATTTATTCTCTGAAGTGCGCAAAGAATTTGAGCATTGTTAGATATCTATAGTTTGTTACAAAGGTGCTTTCTTGCTTGGGCCTGTCCTGCTTTTCTCCCCTTCCTTTGACTTTGCACCTAAGTAAGAGCAGGCATTGACCCATTAAATTAGGTGATGGCTAAAGGCTTTTAAGTTGCCTTTACCCCCCTCAGTCATCTCCCTGGCTTTTGGTACTGTTCAGAGCAACTCCAGACCTGCTCTAATCCTTCACATATTTTTAAAGATTGCTTATGGTCTGTTCCTTGAATGATCAAAATGCAGTGTTATGTGAGGTGTATTCCTTCCTACCTCCAGCCTGTACCTGTGGGGTGAGGTGACTGGTTTCTGGGGCTAAGAATAATCTCTAGGTCAGTGCAGACAGCTGCAGACTTCTCAGCTGCCCCTTAAAAGCAGTTTAACTTCCACAAAGGTGCCTCAGCAAAGCTGAGATTTTGGCCTGCGTGTCAGTGTGTTTAATGCACACAAAACCCCCATGATACTAATTCTCCTAGATTTGCTCTCCCAGCCTTTTTAGAAAGGAATAAAATTAGGTTCATTCTTAATTCTGTGAATGCATTAAAACTTAGCAAAAAAATAAGCGTGCTCATGGATTTCTCAGTATAACCTGCTGTTGCCTCAGTTGTCTTATATTTAGCGCATGTAAATCTGGCTTCTAATTACCTCTTATTTGAACAAGCAGCGGTACCTGATTCAAAGGCTGCTGAAGTCAAGGAACTGGCATCAGTTTCACTGGGCTTTAGACCAGCCTCTTAAGAGTATGGAGCTAGAGCACTGTCTTTTAATGTAAATTGCATGCATAGGTGTTTCATGTGTGTAAGATTAAAATAGATATCTAAACCAGAGTAGAAAAAGATGCTGTTAGATGTCCTGAATGTATTTTAGGCCATAAGCTTCTCTGACCACAGATAACACCTTTGATGTTACGAACACTGCGTCTGTCAGGGTGTTAGAGGAAGGCCTCATGTTTTCTTTTCTGTCTGTCCCCTCCCAATCTTCTTCACAACAGTAAGTTTCCTACTTGAGCTGCACAAGAAGGATTCATGCCTCCATTCCACTACAAATTTAGACAAATGGAACTTAAGCTTGATCATATTGATGGGCAAAAGCCCATCTGTGCAGTGAAATTAAGCTGCTTACGCTAGTCCTGTTGTTAGTTGTATTGGAATTGGGTCACAGCAGAATGTGCAAGTCAAGTATCCTGCTTGCTTCCATACTTTTTTGTTAGCAGAAATTTCAATGTAAATTTTCCTCCCCACTGACCAAATAAGCTCTACTGGTTTTGTAACAGCAACAGCCTTCTTCAACTATGCCTCATTCCTCCAAATACTAGATATGTCCGGGATCAATCCACAGGGCTTCTCTCCACTGCTCCACCACATACATGTTTATTATAGCCAGACACATAGCTGATAATTTGTTACTGGTGACAGATTAGGGGAAAAGTGGGTAGTAGATACCAGGAATAAAGTTTTAAACCAAATGCTTTGTCTTTTTATCTTTTTGGGGTTCCTCTTCCTCCCCCCTCTGCTCCCCTTCCCCCCCACTCCTCCCCCATTGTATAGTTAAGAATGATAATACTGAGTCTGAAGATTGCTTCCCAGATTTGAGTGATGGTGGTTTTTAGGATAGACAAACCCAACATTTGTTTGCTCAAATATCTTCATCAGTTTATGAGTGTGAATGAGATGGAAGAAGTTTTTAATGTTCTGCTAGCTCCAGTCTGATCCTCTCCCCCACTTTCCTCCTGTATAACTTCGTTCTGTATTGCATGTTGTATGTGGCATCTGTTTTACAGCCCATTACACAGCTGCTTTCCCAGTGATGGTGGCATTTTTTATGAGAGGCAAGTTCTTTTTATGTAGTATCTTGTTTTAAAATTGTAAACACTTTGGACTTGCCTAGGAATGTCAGGTGGCTTCCTGATTAATCACCCAGCTACTTAATGTTGTTGCTATTTTAGTGTTTGTAATACTTTCCTGGAGGCTTAAGTAGTAAATTAAAAAAACGTAGTATCTCATGTGTGCTAATGCCTGTGAATGAATTCAGTTACAGGCAAGCAAATAAATAGCAAGTTGAGATTTCTTGCTGTATTTCATTGCAAACTACTTTACAGATCAAAAGCTTTAATTGTTGCTATAAAATCCTTACATTTTTATGCTTAAATCCTCCTTAGGGTCTTGGGGCTCAAGAACAAGGAAATACAGAACATATCAAGGTTCAAGTGAAAAACAACACACTGGGGTTAGGAGCAAGCATCAATTATGAGGTGAGCACTAGAGTCAGGTAAGGAAATGGCTGCCATTTCAGCTAAAGCACAAATCTTTGTAACAGGATATTTGTGAAATCGGTTGTCACATCTGATGGCAGCATGTACCTGTGCCAGTATCTCCACAGAAACTCTTCACCTGGAGTTACTGCTTTGTTGGGTGTTCTAGGAGCAAGTACCTGCTTGGAAAGGTTACGGTGAATTCTGCAGGCCAGCTGTTCCGAGATTATTTTTTTTTTGCTTCCTAGCAAATTACTGAAATACTTGCCTTTTCTTTATATCTTCTGCCCTGCTTCGTGCCTTCTCTTCCTGATACAGTCACCTTTCTGACCGGAGTTCAGGTACATAGGTAGAGCAGAACATGGTCCTAAAAGTGCCTGTCTCACAATCAACATCTCAAGTAGCTTTGCTGGAAAAAAAATCACAGTGTTATTTCCTGCCTACTTTTGAAAACATCTTGCACTGATGGGAGACACGCAGAGCCAACAGTAGCTCAGTATTAAGAACTTACAAACACAACCCTTACAATTACTACTCTTTAGAGTGACTGTAGGAAGCATGTGTGTTGCTTCTGAGAGTCCCTTCCACTGACCAGCATTGAGTATCTACAATTAAGTTACTTCTTAGAGTGCAGTCTTAATACTTAGTTTAGCAAAACTTTTGTTAGTTCTGAAGACTTGCCTTGTATTCATGTGGGTGATATTTACAGGACAACTGGATTGCTCATCAGGATGACTTCAACCAGCTTCTGGCTGAACTGAATGATTGCCATGGACAGGGTGAAACAGGTAGGTTCGTGCTTTGCTCAGTCAGATGCTGGAAGCCTAGCACAGTTTCCATTCTCTGTCATAAAGGCTAGCTGAGGCCCAATACTTTGGGGTGGTGATAGTCTTGCTGAGGTTGGCAACTACCCCTTCTCCGCTGAAGTCAGTGGGAGCTGAAAGACATGTCATCTGTTGCCATGCTGAAGTTTATCTGTATATGTTGATCTCAATGGATCAGTTTTGCTCTCAGTCAGGTCTCTATTAAAGGCTTTTTGTTGGGGAAAGCAGACATAAAATTTTAAACTTGTTTATTTTATCCAGGGCCACAACATGTGGGATCTTTTGCTGGGATGTTCTACTGTAGCACTTGCTTCTTTATACAGCAGCCAGAGGCAGTGCAAAAGCTCACAATGCAGTCACTCGCCATTGCAATGTGTTTGCCTTCCTTTTACTAATGAACTGTCATACATAGCTTCCATGCTCTGGTGGTTTCTTAAATACCTACTTTTCCTGTCCTCAGAGAGCTGCTTCTTAGCTTTTGACTCAGAGTTATGCATCTGTTTTGAGTGTGGTACAATGTGATTTTTGTCACCCTGATGTAGAGCACACAAGTGGGGGAAACTACACAAATTTCCGAAAGGGCTATTTATAAGTCTTTTCATTTTTAAAAGCTTTGTTCGGTTAGACTTTGGTTTGTAAAAATTAAGCTATGCTCAACTGATGGGTACAACCTCACAGAACTGTGCACATCAAATGGTTTATTATCTCTCCTTTAGTTAGAATTAAGTTTAAACTCTGATCATACATGTAAACAACTATGTGTAGGGTCTCATTAAACCAAGGGCTTCTGCTTGGACAGAGCAGTCTATCCATGTGCTGTTAGTGGCAGAATTGCCAGCCTAGGGAGTCTAGCAACTGTTGATTCATTCACTCTTAATGTTTGAGCACAGAAGGTTTTCTAGGAGAGGGGAAGTAGAAAAAGGAGGAAGAAAATCAGTTAGCAAGAAGGATCAAACTTGCTTTCTAATCCTAGACAACTCGGATTAAATTCTGAACCTGATGCTTTTAAACCAGTTTAAAATTGCTGTGTAAATTATCCCTGTGCATTGAAGTCCTGACCATGGTCTTGAGGTCCACACAGGACCTCAAGTCCTGTAGTTGAAGCCCTCAAGAGGTAGAATAGTGTATCGTAAGGAAATTCCAGAAGTTCCTTTCTACCTTTATAGCTAAATCCTACCCAAGTTCCAACTTGAGCCATGGGAAGATCAGTTAGGTGTAACTGGTGGGAAACCTGCAAACTGATGAGTGGAGAGCTGAAACGACTTGCCCAAGGACACAGTGAGTCAGCACAGAGGCAGGTTCATTGAGCAAGGTTGTCTTGTTCCTAAATCTGTGCAGTATTCCTTGGGTTATTTCTACTGATGCAGAGTGGCCCCTGGCAACTGTATTTCTCCCTGGTTTACTCAGTTAATTTTCCTTTGTCATTTTAGGAGCTGGGACAAGAGTTTTCAATCAGAGGACAAATTTGGGTGCACATTGAAAATACCTGGCCATAGTCACGTTTAGTGATTTGCAGACTACAGGCATTGCTCTGAAACTTGTTTTTTGGCAATTGTTTAAGCTGGCAAAACTCATACAGATAGGTCTGCCCGCAGCTGTGCTACAGGATCAAATGTTACGTTATTGGCCATCATCCAGTTTCAAGTTGCATTAAAAGTCAGCTGAAAAACTTCATTGTTCTTAAATAACTGGTGTAGTTGCCAGAGTTGGATCGCAATTAGGGATCGGGAAGGAAGGGCCCTGTGGTGGTTAGTATGCCAACATTCTAATACCCTTGGTGCATAGTTTTAGCTTCCTTTTCTTTCTTCTTTTTTTTCCTAGCTGGTCACCTAGTGAAGAGTTTTGATTCCTGGCTCTTTTGCTGGAATATTAAGTAGTGATGACTGTGTCCTTTTCCCATTCGTAAAAGGGGCAACGTGCTGTTCATGTCTGTAATATCCTTTGGAATATTCATCTGCATCAAATTTACTACAGAAATGACACATGGCTTTTTGCTATGACTAAATTTCTTTAAAAAGCACATGAATATTCCTGCAGTGCTTGTTCAGGATTTGCCAGTCACTGGAAGACGCAGGGATGTACCTACCTGTCCATTGCAAGTGCCAGCACGTTCCAGGGTTGAAATTCCTCCTTGAAGGCACAAGGCGGTGCTGCTGTGCCTTTCACTGCTAGAATAAAGAGGAGGAGGAAGCTCTGTGGAAATCCTTTGCTGTGTAATATTCCCTCTGTACAAGTGAATCGGAAAGCAGGCTTAAAGTGCCTCATCTCTGGTCAGGGTATTTTAGTTGTGATGCATATTTTCCCCACAGACCCCATTTATAGAGGATTTCCAGTTTGATTGTGAACTCTTATCTAAAACTGGGTTTGCTAGTCCTTTGTCTTAGGGCTGGAAGAGTAGATCTCAAAGTGCTTTCTGGTAATTGCCTCTCTCACTGCAGGCTGTGGATTTCATTTGCCTTGTCACTACCTACCAAACAGTGAAGTGCTGTAATTCCAATGTCAGAAAAGCTTGGTCTGCAGAACTTTCAGGGGTGGGATCATATGAAAAAGGTGACTTACCTTGGCCCTCAAGGTATGGGTTGATTTCCCTATCATCCCAGTTGTCACTGGGAGAGGAAAAAAACATCTCACTGGAGTAGCCTTTTCTAGAGTTACAGAGCAGATAATCCTATGGTGATTACTAATAAAGTAGTTATTAACCAGAAAGCAGGTTACCTGCTTCTGAGAACCTCTTGTAAATTAACAGGCTCTGTGGATTCAAAGAGTGCATCTGCACCAGTAAAATAACCTGCCACAGCACAGGAACGTGATATCTTTACTGTTAAATAGTCAGATTAATCCTTTACATGGGTTTGACCTGCACAAGCTAACATTCTCCCAAATGACTGCTGAGTGAATTTGGGACTTAGCCAACCCGGAAACCGTCCCAGTGGACAGTTTAGATGCAGTCCCTCTTCTGCAAACTAGGAAAATTAAATCATATGGATGTGGCAGTTTGTTCTAGCTGGCCTCAGGGACAGAAAAGCTCTGCCACAGTTTAATTTCCTTACACGGATGTATCAGACTGTGTCCAGAAAGAGACACTTTGTATAGTGTTAGAAGTGAAAGGCCTGTGTTGTTGTTTTTTTTCTCCCTTCTTTCTATCCAGTCAGGTTCAGTATTTGTCCCATTTCTTACATCTTTATCAGACTGTGGCACTGGAGAGGTTTAAAAACGAACAGCACAATAAACTCAGACTTACTATGCTTTTCTTACTTTAGAAATGGATTTGCCTTTGACCTGGAGTACCTGTATCTGCCTTTTCAAATTACATTAGACTGGAAATGGGAAGGGGATGTGACAAAAAGGAAAAATCAAGCAGTAACATGTCTTGGACAAAAATTACCATACTTCCTTCAGTAATACATTGTGATATGTTGAGACTTGGTTTAGAGAGAGAAAGTTAAATATACTGATGTTTGCTGGCTAGAATGTCTCTGATAGGATTGGAACCTGTTTGGTTTTTGTTTAGAGTCCTCAGTGAATAATCAGAAGAAGACATTCAGTCTGGAAGAAAAATCCAAATCTTCCAAGAAACGTGTCCATTATATGAAGTTTGCAAAAGGTAAGGGGAGTTCCATTGTTTCATGAGCTCTAGCCAAGATCAGGAGAAAAAAAGTGTTAAGGTGATCTGTTGCCTTCTGGGGTCTAAATTTGGGAAGTAAAATCTTAGTTTAGAAATGCTCCATGCAGCAACTTAAAGTTATAATATGCTGTTCCTCAATTTTGGACAATTTTGTGTGGCTTTAAGCTGACACTGTTGAATAAACCATTTTCTGTCTGAAGGAATCATCAGCTGAATAAAGAAACAGTAAATACTCTTGAGTGATCTGTGTGTGGGCAGGGAATGGGAAGGGGAGGCAAAGGTGATAAGAGTTACTTGGGCATCTGCACGGTACTATCCTCTGCAATCTCCAATAACCCCTGCTAAAAGATCACATGGATAAGATCAGTGGTCAGATTAAAGCTGAATGCAGGAAGAGGGAAAACCCTCTTACATCTACCAGTTACTTTATGGCTAAATTAGGACAGTAGATGGTGGCCACAAAAACTGTATCAAGAACTTACGGAGTTTTGCAATTTCTTTCTTACAGTGATTACATTATTTCAGCTATCCCTTATTTTGGCTCTTGACAGTCATTCAGTCCCTTGCTCTATTTCTTTAGTGGTTGCCTTCCCCTTTCACATACCCATGTGGGTATAGTGTGTGTATACGTTTCATGTGTATATGGGATAGGATTGTTTTCCACTAATGGCGAATTTATTGAACTTAAAGCTCTCTGTAATGGTTTCAGATACCAGATGCCTCTGCTAAAGCAGAAGTAACTGATGTCTGAATGGAGGCAGAACTCTGATATTGGGGTTTGATATTTTTGAAAAAATAATCTGGCCTTGAAGTCAACATGTTAACATGACCTGTTCACTTTATGACGTTTAACAATTGAATTGGCTCAGGGTTTGGAAGTACAGAGGCCAATGGCCTGTTTGAGGTAGTAGCAAAGAGGATTTATTTTGATTTTCATTTAACCTTTTACTAAAAACAGAGGATAAAAGTGTCTTTTGAGCCAGTAAAATATGGAGGGGGCTTTCGTATTAACAGTATCCCTCATTTGTTTGGCTGCAGTGTTTCTGTAAAGTAGACGCCTGTTTGATTGTGTTATACCCTCTGTGGTCTAAAACAGGGAAATTGTCCTTTTTCAGGGAAAGAGGAAAAGTTATTTGAGAAAGGCCAGTGTTGTTGTGGCCCTTGTTGTTCAAGTCCGATCCTGCTTCCTTTTAGACTAAACAAGACAAGCTTACACAAAAGCAGGAGAAGGGAGCAGCAACGGCAGAAAATGCAGCTTCCGTTTTCGGTGCTGTTTTGTAGCCTCACTGCTGGAGGAGCACAGTCCCCACGCATAGCCTTAGCAGCCATGCTCATGTCTGGGAAAGACACACCAATATGTGGTTAAGACAGTAATTTCAATTGCTTTTCTAGTAGCTGTTCCACTGTACTGCTGAAAAAGGTTTGGACTGTCAGCTAAGTTGGTTTTGTATTAGCGAATGCAAAAAGAGGAGGGGGATGCGTTCAAGGAGGGAAGGCATGGAAATAAAGCATTGGGTAAGAGGAGAAGAAGAATGCCATCCAGAGGGACCTCGACACGCTTGTGAGGTGGGCTGATGCCAACCTCATGAAGTTTAACCATGCCAAGTGCAAGGTCCTACACCTGGGTGGGAGCAATCCCAGGCACAGCTACAGGTTGGGCAGAGAAGAGATTCAGAGCAGCCATGCAGAGAAGGACTTGGAGATGTTGGTCGATGAGAAAATGAACATGAGCCGGGTTCAGTGTGTGCTTGCAGCCCAGAAAGCCAACCATATCCTGGGCTGCATCAAAAGGAGCGTGACTAGCAGGTCCGAGGAGGTGATCCTGCCCCTCTACTCTGCTCTTGTGAGACCTCACCTGGAGTATTGTGTGCAGTTCTGGTGTCCTCAACATAAAAAGGACATGGAACTGTTGGAACAAGTCCAGAGGAGGGCTACGAGGATGATCAGGGGACTGGAGCACCTCCTGTATGAAGACAGGCTGAGGAAGTTGGGGCTGTTCAGCCTGGAGAAGAGAAGGCTGTGTGGAGACCTCATAGCAGCCTTCCAGTATCTGAAGGGTGCCTATAGGGATGCTGGGAATGGACTCTTCATTAGAGACTGTAGTGATAGGACAAGGGGTAACGGGTTCAGACTTAAACAGGGGAAGTTTAGATTGGATATAAGGAGGAAATTCTCTCGTGTTAGGGTGGTGAGGCACTGGAATGGGTTGCCCAAGGAAGTTGCGAATGCTCCATCCCTGGCAGTGTTCAAGACCAGTTTGGACGAGGCCTTGGGTGATATGATTTAGCATAAGGTGTCCCTGCCCATGGCAGGGGGGTTGGAACTAGGTGATCTTAAGGTCCTTTCCAACCCTAACTATTCTATGATTCTATGATTGGAAGTGTATGTTTCAAGCCTTGGCCAAGGTAAAACTGAAAACAGCCACCACTCTTCACCCAGCTTGCTTGGGTAAGGATGTCCAGGGGCTGGGCAGTGAGGCGTCAGAAAGTTGGGTAGCACTTTCTTGTCTAGGTTGATATGTCTGCTTACCCTTTATGGGCAGTTATGGATCCCAGAAGAAGAAACAGGTAGAATAGTCAGATTATCTTTTTAATTTGTCTATTACAAGTGCTTAGGTTCATTTTGAGGTCAGTGTTTTTGGAATCAGAAAATCAAGTGGTATAAGTCCCCAGTATACTCCTAAGACATTGGTCTGTCTCGGCTAATTTTGTTTCTTTTACTGACTGTTACATTTTTTAAGACTTTTCTGATATAAGTTGTGGGCAACTCGATGTAAAGGTTTTTGCACTCTGGAATTGGCTATACTTTTGCCCATATCTCAGAATATAACATTACACCCTTTTGCTTCCCCTGCCATGCTTCGTGTCTGATATTCAGCTGTCCACCCAACAGTGAGATGGGAATAATGGTCCTACTGGAGTGCAGAGAAATTTTTGCTTTACTCTTGAAATTGTTTTAAGTTGGAATAAACCAGTGTGTTGTAGAGATGGAGGTTTTGGTTTTCTGAAGCAATTTCATGAATCAAAGTCTCCACTGAGTAAAGATGAATGTTTTCCTTCACTGTATGGAGGAGCTATAACTCTGTAACTTTGTCAGAGATGGGGAGTTCTCATGACAGTCTGAAGATGTGCAGTTTCTCCTTAAACTTTTCTCATGTGTAGGAGGTTACAACTCTTCTTTCCCTTTAACATAGTGCAGGCTGCTTCCTCATCTTGCTGTGCCAATTGCAGCATCAAGTCAGGGGAAACAAGCTGCTGTTAAAGGTTTCCATGTGGACATACACCAGCAGGTCGTGGATGTCTTCTCACCAACCTTTGTCCCTACACACACACATATTTCCTACTGTATGTGGGAGTCATGGTCAGCCTTCATTCAGTGTCTTTGATGCTCTCCCCTTGATATATATTCCCCTCCAAAAAGAATTTCTACCTCAGTGGGTGTTACCAAAATGTACCTGTAATCACCAGATGTGAAGGTTGTGAGATTTTCTTCTTCCTCTTACCCCTTTCAGGTAAGGATCTGTCTTCGCGCAGTGAAGATGATCTGTCCTGCATATTTGGGAAGCGACAGAAGAGTTTGAAGGGACAGGTAACAAGAGGCTTCACCTTTCTCATTTCCTTCTGTATTATTCCTTATAATAAAACCGTATTTAAATGTCTTTCTGCTGATGAGATCACAACATGGCCATTAAAAGCAAGAGGTTTTCTGCCGGTAAAATTGCTGTTGTTTCTATGTGAAGGCTGCAGTTGGAGGGCTGTGATCTGAACTGTTAGGAAATGAGTGAATTTAATACATCACTTTGTGAATTATTATGATAAAACTTCTGTAGAGTTAGGAAACTTGAGTGTTTAAATTTTACACTTGTTATGCAGTGTACATGGCAAAGTACATAAATCTTGCTTGATCTGAAAGATCCATAAATATCCAAAGTAAAATCTGACATTCAGTAGCAGCTGGCCAATCTCAGCAAACTATCCTTATTTTACAACAATTTGGAAAGGCTGAGCAGCTGCAAACAAAAGATTCAAATGTGGCTTGAACACTGATAAATATTTAATGAGAAGACCATTTCCCCAACATTGTGTAATGAGACCAAGGTTTGTGCTAGCATTTATTTTCCTTTATTTCCTTTTTGCACTTGCAGAGAGTAGACTTGCTATTTCAGGCAGTATGGATGCCCTATCCCTGGAAGTGTTGGAGGCCAGGCTGGACAGGGCTTCAAAGAACCTTGTCTAGTGGAAGGTGTCCCTGTCTGTGGCAGGGGGGTTGGGACTAGATGAGCTTTAAGATCCCTTCAAAACCAAACCATTCTATGATGATTCTTATTGGTATGTTAAATAGCAGATTTATATTGTGACATGGCTAACATATCCAGAAAAATGGTTTGGAAAAAATAACATCTGGAAAAGCACAAATGCATGTGTTGCAAGAATTGCCCTGTTGTTCCAGAGTTCTGTGTCATGTCCGGAGGGAAAGATGGGGCCTGAAAGTCAGAATCAGTGGATATTTCTGAATGTATGTGTTTGACACCTTGCTTTTTGTACAGTGCTCTTGAAAATTCTGTAACTTCACAGTAGGCCACTGTGATAAACTTTGGGAGGAGTAGAGGAAGAATGTGCTAAGAGATCCTGGATAGTAGTGAAATGGGTGGCTCTGTAAATGCTAGGCAGAATGACAAGGGAGCTTGTTAAGAACAAATAGCAACCCACTGGGGATTCTTCCCTGGATAAAACTCTTACTATAAAATAAATAATACTTCAGTGGGGAGTTTTGAAATGAACAGTTTGAGGACTTGGTCTCGCCGTTATCCCATATAGTATAATTTCAGTGAATCTGCTGTAGATTTTAAAGTTATTGATAGCTTTATTGGTGACAGAGAAAAATGTCAAGTGTGTTTTCTGAGTACTGTTCTCTATAAGCTGCAAAAATACTGTTGCAGTTGATTTAAACCAGGAAGTTAAAGAAACTTAAGAACTGTCCTGTCTTGTCTGCCACTGTGAAAAACCTGTGAAAAAAGCCTTTGTCACAGGACACATGGTTTGGTTTGAAAGGCAGGATCTTTGGAGTAGACCATCAGTCATAGTAGTTGTCAGAGGTCTCAAATGCTGTAGGTAAGCTTGCTTCATCAGAGCCCTTTTGATTAACACTTCTAATTACTTGAATATGCCATGGATCTGCTTCTTAACTCCTTTGCTGTCAGATCACTCTGAAGCAAGACAAACTGGGATTTAATGCAGATCAACAGTGCTGTGGTTAAGGGAGCAGATTTTGCCCACCCATGAGTTGTTCCAAATAGTTGGTCTCAATTCCTCTTAAAGTCCCACATCTTTTGAAAATAAAAAGATTAAGTTTGGAAAAGTGCTGTTGCTTCTCCTGGGACGTTACCCTGTAGAGCGTTTCTTCTTTTGTTGATAGACAAAATGTGGATCATATGCATTTATGGCTGCTTATGAAGGTTGTGTATGTTTGTGCATGTTTCTGCTAATCCCTTGACTGATGCAGTGGTTAGCTGATGGCTGCTGTGCAGATTTCCATTTTCCCCTCAGTGAACTAATGGTTCAAGGTTCTGGCAAAAAGTCATAGACTGTTCCTTGTTAAGCACCCACATCTCCACATGCAAATACAGGGAGGAGGTAATGTAATTTGGAGCTGTATTGTCCTCTTCTGGCTGCTGTCTGCTGCTAGGCAGCAATAGGGAGAGAAAGCCAGAGGCAGCACAATTGCTTCCCCCACCTTTTCTTCACGGATCAGAGATCTGTGGAGTCTGCACAGAACAAAAATGCATTGCTCAGGCTCTCCAGCTCTGAGCAATTTCATTTCATCGCACCCATGAACTCTCATGATCCTTTTCCATCACATTCCAGAGCCTGGTCCTTAAGGTGGCACAAATGGAACCACCCTGTGAGGATTTGCAGTACTGTTCTCCCCATGTGTTTGCATTCTGGTTTGAAATCCCTAGGCTCTGGGCAGTTCCCTGATGTGGCAGAGAGTGCACTAGTGCAGCAGGAAAGCGCTGTCATTCCGCTGGAAGTGAGTTGATCATTTCTGTTCCTGTGTAGAGATAATGTAGGAAGAGTCCTGGTGTCCATCAGAGCCCTCTGGTATGACTTCAGGCTGTGGAAGGCTTCAATCCCTTTTCATTGCAGCTTCTGCAAGCGTTAGTAGCAGTTGTATGCTGCTGACCCTGTTCAAAGCAGATGAGGACAGTTGTCATACTTACGTAGGTGCCAGAACTTCTACTGTCAATCTGATTGCAGGTTCCCAGCTGTAAGAGGTATAGTTTAAGAAGCATTCAGTATGGATTTGATTTGGACTGAATGGCTTATCTTGGAGTAGAGTTGTCATTCCACTCAACCTTTTGACAAAGATATTCACCGTGATTCGTTTTCCCATATTTCTAGTTGTTTCATTCCAGGATCAGAATCATCTTGGGTGTAACTTCATGGAATAACTTCATAAAATCATGTGATTACTGATATGGGAGGAGACCTGGAGGTCTCTATCAGTCTCCCGGCTCAGAGCTATGTCAAGTTGCCTCAGGACCTTGTCCAACTGAGTTTTGACTATCTCCCTTCCTTAAAGTCTCCAATTTAAGCCTGTGACAAAGTGCAGTATGGATGAAAGAGATCACTTAAGGAGCAGAAGATGGGAACGTTCTGGAATAACAAAATGATTATGCAGGAAATGAGCTGAATTAAGTGGTTGTTTGCAGTTCTGTAGGCATCAGAGACACGATGAAAGTTATGTAAAGGTTTACGGATGTATGCTTTTGACGGCATTATGGGCAGACTTCATTTTGAGTGTGTTGCAGAGCTTTTCTTATGCCTAAGAGCTGTTGTACCTACAACCTTTGAGCTTTTCTATTTCTACAAATAGCCGAAGGTGCAGTGTATCCTCGCAGTGGTGTTACATAGATGCTCATCAGCAGTGTCATTGTACTAGGTCTGGCTGGTTGGTGGTGTTTTACCAAACAGTTCTTAAAGATTAGGAAAAGGGGACGAGGGGGAAGCAAAATCCAGGAAACTCCATCTGTGCTTGTGGTCAAATGGGAACTAGTGGAAGGGCTCAAGGCTGAGTGAGTTTGTCTCTGGGCCAGGGAGATAATCCTTGCTCTTCTGAAGTGCTTGTCAAAAATACGTCACCTCTGAACTGCTGCTGTGATAAATGGTATCTCAGCAAATCAGTATGTCACAGAGATGTTCTTCCAATTAGTCGTGTTCAGTCTTTTCTAGTATGATCGTTAGCAATCATTTGATGATCTTGTCCTGTGGAGTTCTTTTGTCCTGGCTTAATCTTAGCTCTTACCTGTAAAGCTGATCTCAGACTCACTTGTTAACTGTCTCAGTAACTTAGGACTGATCTGGCTAATGGATCTTTTCTCTTGTTTCACACTGACAGTACTGCAGTAAGTGGGGATGTTGAAATATGGATTATTTACCTTATCAAAGGAAGAGGGAGTTGGCTAGAGGATTGTAAAGATTGCAAAAGAGTGGAATTGCAAAGGATATGGAAGGAAATGCTCTTTGCTCTAAGGGTTGAAAGGAGTTTCTCTAGAAGTACTAAGACCGAGATACTAGTAAAAGCTGTTGTTTTGATGGTTCTGGGTTATGTGTTACTAATGACAGACACTTGCAGCCTTCAATTCTCCTGAATGTTAAACATAGCGGGACTTTTAAAATTATTATTATTTTTGCTAATCTTGTGTCCAGCTAAAGCCTCCTTAATAAACTGTACAGGGACCTTTGCTTAAAAAACAATGAATAAATAAAAACAAGTAAAAAGAAAGAACAGAGGGAGAAAACAATGGCTGGTCTTGAGAGTGGGCCTAAATTGAAAACGTCTGCAGTTTTTCCCACGGAGAGTAAGTGATCGAAAATATTGAATTGTAATTATGATGCTCTCCGGAGACCTCCAGTGAGGACCTGTTTTGCAAGGTAAGATCTGCCAGACTTTTTTCGCCCCTACTTTCCCTCTGATTTTCTCACTTGCTTATGAACACTTGGGAGCTGGGGAGACAGAAAAACAAATTCCATTAGTTCCTATCTGGTTGAACTTCCTGGAACCCCCACTATTTTTTTTGCTTCTCAGAATTTCCTTCCTCCATCCAGCTGTGTTTCCTGATGAAGCCTTATCACTGGAGAAAATGCTCCCGAGTGAGACTGAGGATTTGGGAATGAGTTACAGACAGTCCCAACTTGGTTGCTGAACAACATGATTCTGGCACTGATTTCACTTTGGGGGCTGGGAGAGTAGTTCTGATTTGCTTGTGCATTTGTACTAACTCGGTTTCAGATGTGTAGAAAACTGAATGTTTTGCATCCATCTCACTTCCTTGTCTCAGGCCATTTGATGAGTAATCTGCTTCCTCCAAATTTTTGTAACTTGGACGTAAACCTGCGTATGTTCCCTTAAACTACCTAATCCAAGTAGCCCAAAAGTCTCAAGTTTGTGGTGATTTTGTCCATGTTAGTCATTAGAAATGTAATTATCCACCCTGTTGCTTGTTCACTTACTTTTTTTTCTTAATCAGGAAATTGTCTTCTGACACATTTTGCAGAACTTCCTCAACTGACTTATATTTCCCAGCA